TAGCCTACACTATGACCATTAATTGCTAATCCATCAGTTTTTAAAACCCAGTCAGTTTTACCCTATTTTGATGAGAGAAGCTTTAACTCACCAAAACATCAGGTAACTTTCATTGATTGCAAAGTCAATCACCCCCTATTAATGTTTAGTTGATAAAACACGGAATTCCAGTTCTGCTCATTGAAATTATTATTCTCAGTTTCTCTGTCTCCAGTCAAATGTTTCATTAGCTTCACATCATTCCAAAAACCACCTGATATAAACTGCAAAAACCCCAAAAAACTTTCAGATTTAAAGAGGTAAAGAATCCGGCCAAAGTCTCAAACTTAAGAAGCCAAATTGTCTTGGGTACTTCTAACAGGAAATGAATAAAAATCATACTTCACTGTAAAGCGAATGTAGGCCCCTTCATTTATGAGTGATGCAACAGTCATGACGTGTGAGTATGTTTACCCCTTGCAGGAGCGGAGTCCTTCCTGAATCCTTACCTTTTTGCGTTTTCATCGAAAGTAAAAAAAAATAGTCGGTTTGGATTGATCTGAGCCTTCTATGTGCTCCAAAACAATATGAAATATTTTATCGCACAAAGTCCAACATTTTTCGATCCAGGTCCTCCAAATGCTTATAAAACAGCATGAAAAAATACTCAATCGGCTGGCTAGAGTCCAATATTTTTCTTGAGAATAGTCTCCTCCTTGAATGAGTGATGCAACAATTTATTGTGACATTTATGTATGAATAGCCCTTGCAGAAGCCTTTTTCATTTGACTCAGCTAAGTTTTGAAGAATCGTTTAATATGCACGTAAATGGAAGTTATCATAACAATGTATCATATACCACTGCATAATGAACTGATCGTCATGAAAATGACTATAAATTACCTAGATATTGCAAATTGTTTTTAAAAAAAAAAAAAATGAAGATAAAAAAAAATTCTTGGTTGATAGGAAAGTCAAATCTTGCGAGAAATCGCGTTTTTTTTTTTTTTTTTTTTTTTTTTTTTTTTTTTTTCCTGCGGCCAGGAAAGTCGATTTTTTTTTTTTTTTTTTTTTTTTTTTTTTTTTTTTAACAAAATCTGTAATTATCTTAAAAACGGCGAGTCTGAGGTAAAAAAGTGTTCCCACCGGAACGAAAGAGCATAAAATTTCCATGCGAAAAATGCTTATGAATACACTAGGGGGTCCGCCCCCGGAGCGCTATGCTGTCCGAACCAACGGCGGCTACTACGCGGTGAGGCTCGGCTTGGCCGCGCCATGAATTGTTGTGGTCCAAGATGAAACAGCTTCACCGTTTTGGTAGATTTACCGCGAAGGTAAGTTACAATATCCATTTAAATAAGTACTAATTTCCTTTCATCATGAAACCCCCTCCCCCTTTAGGTCATTCTAGTTGTATAGATAATACCTAACTGTCAAGGTCAACGGTCACGATTGAAGATAATGTTATAATGTTATGCTTTCTTATTCTAATACAATTTGTCAAACAAAAAATCTTCTTTCTTCAAAATAACTACAAGGAAATGAATTAATACAAAATATAGAAAGAGGGAGACAAGCAATTCTCCGTTTATTACTTTAAGCTGATTCAATGGACGCCATATTTTGTGTCAGAACGGCATGCGATGTATCGCATCAACTGGTTCCATTTTTTCAGCCACTCGTCGCATTTTTCTCCAAATTTGAGATCGCAATTCTGTTGCCAGGAAACTAACGAGACTAATAGACGTGGTTTTTTCAGAGAGAAAACATCGTATTCGATACTGATACGGAAACTGCACTTGAATGCGATATTTTCTCTCTAAACAAACCACGCATTTATTACGTTTAATTTCTTTGTTAAAATTGGTAAGTGAGTGCTTTCGTCTCCTGACAACAGAATTGCGATCTCAAATTTGGGGAAAAACGACGAGTAGCTGAATAAATGGAACCAACTGATGCGATATATCGCATTCTATTCTGACACGAAATATGGCGTCCATCAAATCACCTTAAGCGGCGGTCGTTAGTTTAAATTGGATTACATTTAGCATTAAGGAACTACTATTTCTGGCCCATTTTAGAAACAACATGCATGCCACTAGTTTCCCTATGCAGATATGTGCTTTTATGGGAGAGCGAGGGATAGTGGTTCCTTATTGCAAAATGTAATCCAATTCATCCTCTCCTTCCTCCTCGATCAGTGTTTCTGCTTGATTGCTGCATCCCAAGCCGGAACAATGTAGACAAATGTCACTGCATGGTAGATCAGCTCTCTTACAAAAGCAGCGGTTACTATAGCCTTTCGAACATGTACATGAGATGATTTGTAAAAGTTCTTGGGGGGGGGNTGGGGGGGGGGGCAGGTGGGTTGAGCATAGGCACAGGGAGAAGCCTGAGTTCCGAAGATTTCCACCCCTATTCCTTGGGATTCAAGTTTCTTCCTCTCCAGAGTTGGACTTGATAATATACACGTAAGAAGTGTTGTTTGCACGCATCTGAAGTTGGAGGCAACGTTTGCATTTTCACAACAGTTTAATAAATTTGTCTTTGCTCTTGCCACAAAATGCTAAAGTGGTATCACATCCACTGACGGCATGGCCAAGCAGGATGCTGTTCTTAAAATTTGCATTCTATGTTCGCAATTGATTTGAGCTAAAAATTTGGGCTGCATTTTTGCCCTTACCTGGTTTGAGCAATAGGACGTCCCTTGATGCAGGCGTCAAAGCTATCATTAGAACAAGAAGATCGATGTCTTCACCAATGGTAACAACTTGTTTCTTCGTTCCTCTTGGCAGACTGATAGCTTCATTTACGATGAGAGTATCCGCATCGTCCTCTGCTTGAGATACTTTAACATGACTCCCTGTGGTAAAGCGTTTCGATAGCATGCAAATCAAACGCGCCTCATTCTTTTCATTAGATAGAAGCAAGTCCTGGGCCACGGATAAAGGAGTGTACTCAGAAAAAATTAAGGCAGGACATTACTTAAGGCTATATAACGTCGTCACCTTTCAACGCTTTTTGTAGAATCTGTTGCGCTTTTTGTTCGTATCCATCAAAAACAATTGAACCTTCAAGACCGTCATGCTTTTCAACATATAGGTAGCTAATAAACGATTCCACCGCTTAAGGTAAGAAACGAAGAAATGCTTGTCTCCCTATTTCTATATTTTGTATTAATTCATTTCCTTGTAGTTACTTTGAAAAACGAAGATTTGTTGTTTGACAAATTGTATTAGAATAAGAAAGCACAACATTATAACATTATCTTCAATCGTGACCGTTGACCTTGACAGTTAGGTATTAACTATACAACTAGAATGACCTAAAGGGGGAGGGGGGGGGGGTTCATGATGAAAGGAAATGAGTACATATTTAAATGGATAATGTAACTTACCTTCGCGGTAAATCTACCAAAAAGGTGAAGCTATTTCATCTTGGACCGCTACAATTCATGGCGCGGCCAAGCCGAGCCTCACCGCGTAGTAGCCGCTGTTGGTTCGGACCGCATAGCGCTCCGGGGGCGGACCCCCTAGTGTATTCATAAGCATTTTTTGCATGGAAATTTTATGCTCTTTCATTCCGGTGGGAACACTTTTTTGCCTCAGACTCGCCGTTTTTAAGATAATTACAGATTTTGTTGAAAAAAACGCAATTTCTCGCAAGATTTGACTTTCCTAGCCGCAGGAAACTACCGCCATAACTCACGAACCAGAAGTCGCAATTTGATAAATGTATAGTGTTTCTAATAGGAAATTTTATGATCTTTTTAATAGGTTCTTTGACATTTATCCGTAGGATTGATATTTTTCAAGATATAAGTTAAAAACCGGTCGCCGGCGGCGTATTATGGCCCCCACTCCCCTTTTTTCAAGGTGGCGGCCTTAGCGGACAGCCGATTTCAGTAAACTTTTGATATGTTGTTCTGGTAGCCTAATGCAAATTCGGATTCAGCGTCAAAAATTACATAGGAATCAATGAAAACATTGCTACCCGGGATTTTTGCAGGCTATGGCCCCTTTTTTGGCTTATTTGCCTGGACTAGACGGTGCCCAACGCTGGGCGTGTTGTCTACCCCTTCCATGGCTTCAACCGTTACGTTGCACTCTACTCCTACTCAATCAGCTACCTCGTCTCATGCAAACTACTTACTTCCCCCCCTCCCCCACCCACTTTACGCTCCGGTTTGTTTGCCCCTATTCTCTTTCATAAAGTCGGGCGTGTTCTCTGCGACTTTGCGACACATGCTTTATTGCGCTTTCAATTACTTCATTTCTCCTTTATTTTTTCTTTCTACCCCATGTTTTCACTTCTTTTGGCCCCTCCATTCAGGGTGCCATGTTCCTTTCGTCAATATTTAAAAAAATGCAACCTTCATGCCTTTCACATTTGGCCGCCATCTTTGATTTGGAGCGGCCCCTTTGACCGGGGGGCCTTGTTAAGTTCATTTATGGAATCTATGACCAAAATTATATAGGAAATGATACCTCACATTATACAGAATGAGCATTTTAAAATATCAATTCCCCGGACCCTCGTCTTACGGCCGCCATTTAGAATTTTAGGTACTTTGAGGGGTCTTGGGGGGCCGGACCATGATTAACTTTTTTGGGGTTGTTCAGAAGGACCCACTGATGACGATTACATAGGGAAAGTTTGTTAGGCAATTTTTTCCGAGTCAAACCGCACTTCTTTCTTACTACATATTATAGCACAAACCTGTTTCTCGAGCCGTACACTTTTTGGAGGATTGTGCAATATATTTGGAACTTTTTTTGAAACTAAGGATGTTCTGATGACATCCACATCCTTTGCTCTTGTCTACAGTTCATTTATACCTTTTTCCGGCTTATTTTCGTGAAACATGAGTCTTTTATACTGCTACTTTGAAGACCTCAGAAATTCTGAGGAGCAAAAAAAAAAAAGAAAAAAAATACCGAGGTGAGTTTTTCTAGTTCAATTTGATTCTTATCGTTTACAAAGACTGTCTTCCAGACATCATAGAAAAATGACAATGATACCTGATGTTCCTCCAAAGTTTCTATGGTGTCTTCACTACATTTGAGAAGCCAACAGTTAGTTCGGTCATTCATTTCATAAAAGAATTCCATCGTGCCCCAAGTGTTTTTAAGCTCAGTCAGAATTTTCTCCATACTTTGCTCCTTTACTGACTTGTCAACAATCGTTTTTACTTCCTCCTCATACTTGTACAGGTTGAGAGCTAGTAAGTCGGCTAACGTTGTACTTTCATCGATTATAAATTTTACCTGGATAAATAGGAAACAGATATCACACATTTTTGCACAATGTAATCACGCTTTCTCAATTGACAAGGTTACCTCTGGACCGCGCAATAAAGGACGGGAACAACCCACATTAGCAATAGCAAAATTTAACTGGGCAATTTAATTGTTTTACATTAAAACGGTTGAATGGATTTTTGTTTAAATTTCAGTAAATTTTCTGCAAAGTGCGAAGCAAATTCCTTAAATTATTTCAGGGAATCTGCTCAAATATTCTCATGTAAAAAATCAAATTAAGCTGATGTAGCTTAGTTCCTTTCTGCTTGACGCGGTCCATTTAGGGCTGTCCGCAATTCACGCAACGCTCTGGGGGCGAGTGGGCGATGCCGCACACGGGAGCTTTAATCCTGCTTTTATGAGGCACCGACGAACCTGCAGTTGCGCGCTTAGGAACCGAGCGGGTTGATGACGGAGGGGGGGGGGGCCGTTGCTCTATCGTAAAGAGCCGTATCATATCGTATCCTGATAATTTGACTTATCTCTACCTAGACCTGCCTAGATCTCTACCTAGACATTATGTCTTGGGGATTTTCTAATGGGATTGAATATGTCCCACTCACAGATTGGTTTTTTGTATAGTCATTTTATTTACCAGTGGGCATCGCCACCTAGTCGCTACGCGGCTTAACCTTTGGGGCACCGCATGCCCCCGAAGGCCGCTTTGCGGCCAGCAAATTTGTCAAAATCGGCCGGACGTAACAAATTGAACTTGCTAGAGTAAATTAAGAATTAATAAAAAGATACCTTATCAACAACTAAAACAAATAAAAAATAAAGAATTGGCCTCCGGCCAATTAATGCGCGGCGCGAACGCCGGCATGTGCGGGGAGCTTTGCCCCCCATCATGGTACGAGGATTGCACAAAACTTTCCCGCTCAAGCCGATAGACAATTTTACTGGAATATTAATACTGTGAATCCACAAAATCATAAAGTTCGATTAGAATTTTGATCGAACGAGAATGGTTATGATTTTGGATGAACTGAAAGTTCAATAACTTAATCAATATAGGGGATATTAATGCAAATTAGTAATAGTCCAGTCAACCTGGCCCCAAAAACGGGTCTACTTTGCGAAAATCGGATGAGAAAAAAGTAAGACGGTTTCCTATGTACTTTTGGTCGCTGAATCCGAATCTCATGTTTGCCAACAAAAATTTTGCCCGGAAATGGCCGCCATATTGAAAAAACGGCGGAGAATCACGTTTTTCCCCCAAAATCTCACTTATTTTGGGGTTTTCGACAAAATGAGTTACCTCAATTTTAAAAGTACGTAAAATTTCCTATCAAACGACTTTTAGATTTTTGAAATCGAACAGTTTGGGTAAAAGTTACGGGCGATTGCGTTAGGGGTGGTTTTACGGGTTGATGAGTTGTTCGTAAAATTTGCTGCGTAAAAACGCTGTAACGCCGTTGGAAGTGAAACAAAAATTCCGAAAATGGTTTGCATATTTCCCCCTTGGTACCAGTTACCCTCCGCCATGTAAAAATCTCCCACCCCCGCCCCTCCCCCCGCACCCCTCATTCAATGTGCACTTTTTTCAATTAAATCACACTAATTACAGATGTCGAAAATGTATGCAAAACCCTCATGGGCCACTTGGTTTTCCAAGTTCCATCACCCCCCTTAACCCCGTTATGACCCCCCTCACCAACCCCTCCCCCCACAACCCCCTCCACGCCCCTCCACCGCAAACCCTTATTAGCCATATGAGAGCCACGCAACCGATTCTGAAAGCAAGAATTTTTTTTTTATTATTATTATTATGTTCTCGTATCTTAATTCACAGCTCGAGGCCGGTAGATATTTAGTTCTCCCCCGGCAACTCAATGCAAAGGAGAGTCCTTGAATTTAAAATTGAAGTAAAAATTTAAAATTGGGATTAAAATTGGGAAAAAAAGAAGCACTGAATGAATGTTGTCTTGAATAGCTGTTTCTCTGTAACATTTTCCATAAATCCGCTCCAACCCTGTAAATCTGGTATTATAGTGACTGCTGAAATTACAGAGTGAGAAATCGCGTTGACTTTCTTTTTTGAACTTCCGTTTGCTCTTAACTTTTTTGTTACTTAGAATAATATTATGAAGTAGGAGCTTCAGAGACTCTGGAATGTCTGATTCTGCGTTCTTAAAAAAATCATCAGATGCAGAATAGTTGTCTGTGTCGTAAACCTTCGTTCTGATATCCCCAAGATGTATTTTTGCAGCAGTTTCCACGATACGTAGCCTTTCAGCGTTTTTATTACTTAAAATCTGATTTTAACAAGCTTCGTTGAAAATCTTATCACCAAAACCGTGAAAAGATGTCACTGATTGGTTTAGTTATTTTTTTAAGAACGCAGAATCAGACATGCCAGAGTCTCTGAAGCTCCTACTTCTTACTATTATTCTAAATAACAAAAAAGTTAAGAGCAAACGAAAGTTCAAAAAAAAAGTCAACGCGATTTCTCACTCTGTAATTTCAGCAGTCACTATAATACCAGATTTACAGGGTTGGAGCGGATTTATAGAAAATGTTACAGAGAAACACCTATTCAAGACAACATTCATTCAGTGCTTCTTTTTTTTTCTTTTTTTTTTTCAATTCGCTCACCCAAAGCGGAGGGATTTTTAGTGGGTGGAAATACCACACACCCATCTTGGGTCCCTAGCTGCCTAAGATGTTTAAAAGATTTTCCCGGCCCATTAAAATAATAATAATAATAAGCCCGCACGGGCAGTACTTTGTACCGTGTACTTTGTACTGTACGGGAGGCCCCTTTAGGGGCTGGCGACCCCGCGGCGCCGGAGCCAGTAGCTGGAGACACCTGGCCGACCGAACTTTGATCCTGTGGTATCCCAGGAAGTAGGTTCGTGTGCATCGCGAGCTGAAAAAAAATCCAGCTACAAAAGCCCTTCCCGTGGGTTTGCTCCCCGCAGGAAGGAGTCAATCTTCCAGCAAAAAACAAAAAAAGAAGAGCCTCGGACGCACCAGCAACTGGGGAGGCTGGTGTAGGACATGAACCCCACGCTGAGGACGAGTCCGGCCGAGGATCCCCTCAGCGGACGGAACGACGGTCAACAACACCTTCTACATCCAGAATTGACAATAGCGATCACACTCCACAACATCTTGTGGTTGTGCCTGATGAGAGCGTTGCTGCTACTCCACAGTTGCAGCCCGCCTCGCAAGGCCCAAAAAACAAACAGAGAATCACTTGGACACAGGAAATGAACGAATATCCACGGTGAAACTACCAAACCACGTATCTCGTTTGCGGCGTTTAAAAATCTCCGCTCACATTTTATTTTTTTGAAGTAGACCAAAGCAACATCATTCCTTGAAATTTTCAGGGAATTTTCTCCGCACGAAGAGGAAAAATCATGGAAATTTTCAAGACTGGACGTTAAGTAGCTTTTCATTTAAAAAATAAAGTATGACAGGAAGTTTGCGACGTCGCAAACCGAGATACGTGGTTTGGTAGTTTCACCGTCGATATGTGATTCGGTGTTATTTTGAAGTTACCAAACTCGAGTCAACGAGAGAACCCCATGGAGCAGCGTTGCATCGGAAAGTATTGGATCGTTTTCCGGAGCTGCAACATCTAACAGTGCAGCATACAGGGTGTTCGAAAAGTCCCCTCCCCCCCTCTAACGTTTGACCTAATTGAGGTAGAGATTTGAAACTTGGAGGGTGTTCTTAGATCAAAGGGAGCTACTTTTTGAACCTCTCAAAATTTTGGGGGGCCCCCCTTGGGGGGGTTACGAACCCTAACTTTTTTTTTCAAATGGGAAGACCCCCCCCCTTGTGATACCTCGTTCAAAAGAGCATAAAAAAAGAACAATTTTCGCGCAAACCCGAAGTCATTATCTCAAACCGTTTCAAAATGGCGGCCGGTCAAAGTTCAAAATGGCCGAAAATTGGCACCTCTGCTATTTGCGCATGGATTTGCTTGAAACTCGGTATCTGGGGGTATTTTGGCACGAGAAAAACGAATTTGACGTTAGATTTTTAAAAAAACCCTAATTTTTCAAAATGGCCGCCGGTTTAGGCTCGCAATTTCGACAAACTCGATTTTTTGCCGATGGCTTCACCTGAAATTCGGTATCAGGAGGTATTTTGACCCGAGAAGAACGGATTTGACGTTAGATTTTTAAACAAACCCTCATTTTTCAAAATGGCCACCGATTAAAGTTCAAAATTGTCAACAATTGGCAACGTCAACTTTTTGCCGATGGATTCCTGTTAAATTTCAAGCTTCAGCTTCAGGATTCTCAGCTTATCGTTTTTCTCCCACCCAGATACCCCCAAACATCGAGTTTCAGGCGAATCCATCGGCAAAAAGTCGAGGTTGCCAATTGTTGACAATTTTGAACTTTAATCGGTGGCCATTTTGAAAAATTAGGGTTTTTTTAAAAAAATCTAACGTCAAATTCGTTTTTCTCGTGCCAAAATACCCCCAGATATCGAGTTTCAAGCAAATCCATGCGCAAATAGCAGAGGTGCCAATTTTCGGCCATTTTGAACTTTGACCGGCCGCCATTTTGAAACGGTTTGAGATAATGACTTCCAGTTTGCGCGAAAAATTTTCTTTTTTTATGCTCTTTCGAACGAGGTATCACAAAGGGGGTCTTCCTATTTGAAAAAAAAAAAAATTTAGGGTTCGTAACCCCCCAAGGGGGGGCCCCCCAAAATTTTGAGGGGGTCAAAAAGTAGCTCCCTTTGATCTAAGAACACCCTCCAAGTTTCAAATCTCTACCTCAATTAGGTCAAAAGTTAGAGGGGGGGAGGGGACTTTTCGAACACCCTGTATGTTACGACAACGGCGATCAATAGTCAATAAGCAACGCGTAGCTCCAGACAGGCTGAATCAAATTAAAGAAGAAGTAGCAAAAGAGATGCAGAATATAGGAAACGAAACCCAGGAAGTAACGCCCGCAAGTAATCAGCCACCCACAGTCGTCGGGATAGCCGCACCTACAACT